ACACTTTGTTTGCTTGTCTTTTTCTTTTTTCCTGGTTGGCCAGAGGTTTATGTACATATATTTAGGTGTGTGTGAAAGAACTTTACTTGATCTTCCCCTGAATCTTCTTACTTTTGTTAGTTATGGTTTTTTGCTTTCTTTTTATGGCTGCATTTAGCTACATTTTGGCCCACGTTGAAAAATTGATAGAGGCCACATGCTTACTATTTTTTGGTGAAAGGCGAAAATGCTGAAAAACAAGACTCTGGCTTGTCTTCGTAAATAAAGTACCATGTGTCCTCAAGTGATTTGGTCTGTCATCTCTCCCCTATCCCCGATGTAGCTTTGATGCACCAAACCCATTTCTTGCTTGTCCAGTGCCTAAAATAACGAGGTTACTGCGTTCACCTCTATTCTATACATATAATGTCAAAAACATTATGCATTGCAGGCTGTTTAGCACAGCTGTACTAAGAACACTCTATTAGGGTCGCCACATATCTTCCTTCGTCCTATGTTGAAGTAGCGAAGTGAATACCAGATACCAATAATACACAATAAAAAGAGCAGAACTATTTGGTCTCCATATAAAAATGCAATTTCAGATTTAAAACATGCATTAAATAATTTCAGAAAGAAAGTTGGCCACTGCAAGAAACAGCTTACAAAAATCGCATTACATTTTTTTTTCTCAATGCAGGACTACACAAATAAGAAAAAGAAGAGTTGCAGCTAATCAGGCATCAAGGACGGTTTGTAGGGCGAAAAACTCACAATAGACACGAGCTCTGGATGGTTTGTTAAAAAGAAAACCAGCGAGCACTCAAAGTGATCAACAGCGTTCATGTCTATTCCACGATTTTTTATACAAACCGTCCCCAAGAGAAAATTACCAGCACATAGCAAAGCGTAACAAATGACATCAGCAAACACTCTTGAGGCGGTGTGCCTCTCCCAACAGTCCTAAGCAAGCATCAGAATTGAAGAGGCAATAGTCCAATAACATCAGTAGGCGACATTTTGCAATTATTCGGTACATCTGTGCTGCAATTTTCCATTACGCGACGCACAGAGGCTGCAACTGCCAAGCTTTCGCCCTCCGCAAGTGTCCGTGTCGGGGGAAGCGAGCCATGGGGGGAGCATGCCGCGGTGCGACGAGAGCAGTTATCCCACTCTCCAATTACGCGCTCTGCATGTGAATATTACGGCCCGAAAAACAGCGCGCCGCTGGCTCATCTCGGACACCACGGACAGGAGACCTTTGCAGCCTCCCACCCTTCCTTTTTTTTTTGGCCATGAAATACAGTTGAAACATGCAATAACAAAATCGGCGAGGAAAGCAAGAAAATTCATTTTTCTGGGAATTTCAATGACACGAGAATGCAGCTAGAAAGACAGGGAATCGACCAAAAACACAGTTCGTCGCCAAAAGTCAATAAGCTTGCTTTGCCGAGCCTTTCTGCTGTTCACAAAATCATGCGAATACCGCTTTATCCATGTCAAGGAATTCTGCAGCCATCTCAGACTCGTTTCTTGCTCTCGCATCACTTTCAAGAGCACCAAAAAATGGAGGCTTTCTTCTTGATGATCGTGGATAGCTAACTGCATGCAACGCGGAATTCGTTGGCCATGCCCATGTTTGATAATTGAAACCTCATCTTCTAGCTTGGTGCACTTCCGCTTTTTTGCTGGAGGCGGCACCTTTGCAGGCACACAAACTAGACTATATGATCGCTTCACGCTGTTCACGCTGCACCAAGCACACACAGGGATTGCTAATGTTCTATACACGCAACCGTGTGCGACAGCAATGGGTACACAAGCCGACACGACAGAGCCAGTGAACTGCAGCGAATGAAACTCAATGTAAATGTCGATTTGGTTATGTAGTCGTGCAGCATAAAAGCAGATGTTCCGTGCCAACCTATTAAAATATTAACACGTGCCCACTGCGATGTCTCCTCAGACTTTTGTGGTTTGTTTTTAAAGATGTAGTTGTTACTGCTTAATAAAGGCAATTTTGGTTGCCACACGGTACAGTCACCCGTACCGAAAGGCAAACAATCATCATCATCATAATCACCAGCCTTCTTTTCTTTTAAACGATGGCGATGGCTGGTCGAGTGCGCTGTGGAGATAGTTTAGTGCCATTAAAGTGTACCACGAGTGCATTTTAATATTATGAGAGCAAATTATTAGCGCATTCTAGTTTCAAATACTTCATTAATCAGGAACTGCAGTTGAGATGTTTTGTAGTCAAGAGTTACGAAATGCACCAACTCCTAAGGGCATTCGCCGGTGCTCCGACAATATTTCATTGCGCTGAAAATTTAATTTTCTCGGGATTTCGTTATGGGTTTTGAATGTATAGGGAACGAAATGACACACAATCACACCTGCCTGCCCGGCCCCCACAGCAGATCCAAGCCTCTGAGCCGAAAGCTCAGAGTCCTGGATCATCGCAGAAGTTTGGCAGCTTGGGCTAGTTGGTATGACATGATAGTTATAGCGGGAGAACAGAACGACGACAGAGACCTTTGTGTCCTTGTTTCTTTATCCTAGTTCCGTTCTCGCGTTATAACTATCGTCTGATCGCAGAGCAAAGACTTTTAATTATTGATAACAAAAACTGTTACACAAACCACAACTAAGCAGCATTCCAGAAAGTTACATGCATATATAGCTCTAACTACTAATAGCCTAGCCACTTATAGTGCAGGACTGCTATAATGTAGTCTTTTGTTATTACTGTTTATCCTCCCATAGAACTCCACATTTGCATGTACTACATACTGCTCTACACCAGAGATGAACGACCACTTATAATGCAGCTCATAATAATAATTGATGGTAACAACTCCGCTTCTCAACAGATGTCCGCCGGCTGAGAAAAGAGTAACATAGGCATTGCGAAGGAGGGAACACGAACTGAACTAACAGAGCGGATCAGGGGAAGAAAAAAAAAAAAAACGCCAGGCCTGCGCAGAAGGCGCAGCGCAGTCACAGCAAAAGCTAGAAGAGCGACCTTGCAGAGCCTTTTCTAAACACTCATTGGGTAACTGCTGCAAACACTTGCTGGGTACCCACTACGGCTATAATAATTTCTGTGTAGCAGGCCGGCATTCACTATGCTGTTTTTCAGCATTCTTCTGAGAAGCGTGGTACCCGCTAAACTATTGCGAATAATTTTGTGCCCATTGTTCACGCAGTGGCTGACGACGATGAGGAATTATGCCTAAAATGGGTATGCGCCACAGTTAATAGCTGAATAAAAACAAGCTTTTGTAATGGGTTGGAGCATTGAATGACCCACTCGTTACACTATTTGGGTTGTACGATCACTGCTTGTTCTTTCACAGTTTAAAAATGCTTTATAAGTCCTGTTAAAGTGATTGCTTTCTCAACATCAAGTCTGCCTAAGGCAAGTTTGCCAACATGTCCCAAGCACCAGTGTGGCTCAGTGGTAGAATACTGGGCTTGCAGCCAATAGACTCAGGTTCGAGGCCCACTGTGTCGTAGGTACCATTTTGCGAGATGTGGTTACGGACAACTACGGCGCTGCGCGATACCCGAGCTGTGATCACATAACAGTTTTCTTTGTAAAAAAAGGGGGGGGGGGGGGGAGAACGCATCGTGAATTTGGGGTTACCAGTGCGTGCTGCGAGGAACGGTTATAGTGCACTGGTGAAGCCTCAGCTCTTGGCATTATGTGCACACGCTCTGCACCGAATGGGCGCCTGTGTTGAGTGCTCATTACTGCTGTTCGAATTTTTGCGAATTTTTGAGCGGAAAATAGTCATGTTGCTGTAGAATGCAGACATCGTGCATGTGTCCTCGATTCCACCATTAGTGTAGATAGTGCTTTGCAAATGTAATGGTTTTGTGATGCGGGCTTTCGCCTTTTCCATCAACAGGCGGACTCGCAAGCTTGGTAAGGCTTATGCAGTACAGTTAACACGGCTATTTTCCCGGCTGCCAAATCAAACTTGGTTTTACGCATGCTGCCCTTTGCTGAGCTCATAAGTGCAATCTCATGAAGTATAGGGCCAACTTTCTGGGTCGACATGCCAAGATGCAAAACCCCAGAGTAGGTGTAAGCGCTTACTGCGTAACCACCATAGACAGCGGATGCAGATGTGGGGTTTAGTACCAAATCAACGAAAAACGTTGAAGCGGTTACATTCTGACAAAGGTGGACTCTTGGAAACGACTATGACTCTGAAAGCAACCACTCATATAGTCAACGAAAACAAACGCGTGCATGTGCAACACCCAAGCAACTCGAGTAGTCATTCACTGTCGCCAATGCTCACGACATCGCACTTTGGAAATCGAAAGCATACGAAAGTTTGGTTGATGTTGCGTGGAAAAGTTCAACACATAAGCAAGGAGCTCTACGATGTTGGTAGGGGACTTTGTGCTACAGCGCTTTTAGTCTGCCAACGTCTAACTTTCAACGTTAGAAATTTAAGGGAACGAGAATTCACAAACCAGTCACACCACTTGATTCTCGAAATGGCACGGCTGCCTGTTCTCATTGCTTGCACATGTGCAGTCTTTGAAAAGTGGCTTTTTGTATATAGTACGCACATTGGCGACTTATGGTAAAGAACAGTAATCCATCCTGCCCTGCACAATTGCGCATGTTTTCCTTAATCTAAAAGTGCTCACGGCCATTGTAGCCCGGTGTGTGCAAGTGAGGACATGCATGCTAAGGTGCTGCACTATCGAGCGATTAGTTTTTCTTTTGGGACATGAATTCCCTTTGTTTGGTGCAATTTTGGCACAGAATAGTGTAAATGTAGCAAAGTGTAACAGGATGGGTCTATTGGTGCAGTTTAGCGAAATTGGCAGCACTATCGCATCGCTGCATTGTGTTCTTTCATTAGTACAATACTTTCCTTGTTACTTTACAGAAGGAATTTTCAAGTTTCGAGGCTTATCTTTAAGTACTGACACAAACTTTGCAGACAAAAACTACATCCTCAAAGAGCAATCTTGAGAGAACTGGTGTGTTATACCTGAGGCGTGGATTGCACGCTAGGGCAGTGAAGATTTCTGAAAATGGCATCGCCTCCTCAAAGTCGAAGGACCTGTGCATGTTGAGATGGAAGGTGTGGAAGCGTCCGCAAGCTGTGAGGGCAACGCACAAGGCATTGAGGAGGGACTCTGATTCAGCACAGGTGTCAGCACCCCCCATGTAGTCAACGTGGAGGCATTGCAGAGAAGAATTCAGGGAGATTGAGGCATACATGGCGAAAACTACATCGCTCACAGGTCCCCAGTGGCATATCTTCAGCTTAGAAGCACACGAAAGGCCTTCGGCCAGGGCAGGTGATACAAATGATGGCACAGGCACAGTAAGGGGGAAGTCGACCCGACCAGCACACACGCGCTTCAGCAGGTCGAGTGTAGGGGCTCCGTCACTGAAAACAAAGAGAAAAACGAACACGCATATTAACGGCAAAACACAAGCTTTTCCAGACAGTCGCTCGATGTATCATATCAAGTTTGCCGAGTACATGAGTACAAAAAAAAAATGAGCTCACATAATATATACTATATACAGCGTCAGGAGGTCCTTAAGTAAGAAACTGTCAGGGGGACCTCCTATCGTTAATGGGGTACATAAAAGGTAAGTAACAGCAGCAAAAGCTACAAGTGCGAACAAAAATAAAAAGTGCATTTAACACAGAACAATAAATAGTCAAATTGAAAAAGTTAATTTACCAGAACAACGTTATACAAAACTACAAGAATACGTAAAAGCAGGAATTGAAAACGTAGAGGTAATAATGAAAATGTTTTATTACAAATGAACAAGGGGCTCAATTAACAGTATGCTTTTCATGTTATGTTTAAAAAACTGCAATGAATGAGACGACTTAACATGAAGAGGGATATTATTCCAAAGATGAACACAAAAGAAGCGTGCTGTGTATCTGCCATAGTTTGATCTAATTTTAGGTAAAAGGAAGTTATTACGCTCTGAAAACCTGGTATTATTGCTGTTGACGAAGATATGGAAAGGAATATTATCAAGTGATATTTCGCGATGAATGAGACGGTATGAGATGAGCGACAATCTATGATAAAACAATTGTTGAATGGGTAGGATTCGAAGATGTTGATAGATAGGTAGAGAATAGCAACGGAATGGGCTAAAGGTCATTAACTTGATCGCCTGATTTTGAAGACGTTGAAGCGGTTTGAGATAAATGGCGTATGTGTTACCCCATGATGATAAGCAGTATGATAAATGGCTATTAATATAAGCATGATAAAGTGAGATGAGAACGTGAGGTTGAAAAAATGCACGTGTTGTAATGATAATGCGGATACCAAATGAAACCCTTTTTATAAGTGAATTGGCATGACTATTGTATTTAAGATGTTTATCGAGAGTAACACCAAGGAATTTAACATTGTCAGATGCCAGTAAAGTATAATTATCCAGCAAGACAGTTATAGAGGAAGAAACCACAGTTTGTGGGCTATTAAAGAGTACGAAAGTTGTTTTAGTAGGATTAATCTGAAGTTTGTTATTTCTACACCATGAATGCACGTTGTTAAGATCTGCATTAAGTGTGTCTTGAAGTGCGGTGAGCGATTTATGTGGTGAGTAAATGGTCGTGTCGTCAGCATATAGCAAACACTTAGAAAACGTAAGCGTATTAGGTAAGTCATTTATGAATAGTAAAAATAACAACGGACCTAATATAGAACCTTGGGGAACACCGCAGTTAATTTAGTCTATGAAAATTGACCGTTAAGATATACGACTTGTGGCCTGTTAGACAAGTAGCTACGAATAAGATTTAGAGTTGGGCCAGTAATACCAAAAGACTCGAGCTTATCCAGAAGAATAGAATGTTCTAGTGTGTCAAATGCCTTTGTTAGATCAATGAATATGGCACTTACAACGAACCCTTCGTCAATAAATTGTTTAATGTTATCCATGAATTTGAGCAATGCTTGTTCCGTTGAATAACCATTCCTAAAGCCAAACTGGTGTGGGGAAAGAAGATTAAATTTGTTTAGATAGTGCATCAGACGACTGTAGATAAGCTTTTCAATGACTTTGCCAAAAAATGGCAAAATGCAAATGGGGCGATAGTTGTTAATGTTATCACGAGAGCCTTTTTTGTACACAGGAATTATTTTACCACGTTTCAACAACTCAGGAAATATACCGGTTCTGAAAATTTTGTTAGCAATATCTGCAAAAACTAATGATATGTCTGCAGCAACCAGTTTTATTCTAGAGGGCCGGATGGAGTCCAGGCCTGGTCCCGTAACTTTGAGGGAAGAAATTACGTTAAAAACTTCTGAAGAAGAAACCGGGCGAAGGAAGAAGGACTGAGGGTTACGTGGAAGATGGACTGGAACGCTAAGTGAGAGCGTATTTTGGCACGCGGCAAAATGATCGCTAAAAACATTTGACATATCAGCTTCGGTTGAGTATTCCTTGTCTTTGTAAATTATTTTTTTAATGCTGGCATCGGACTCCCTAACATTCAGAAATTCTTTAATTAGCTCTCAATTACGCCGAGTATTTGTTCCCTTTTCAATTATTCGCCGTTCATAATATTCCCGTTTTGCACGTTTGAGGACGCTAGAAAGAATGTTGCTATAATTTTTAAGTAATAATGTAGTCTACCATATAAAAACGTTTTTAAAAATTTAGTATGTGTAACATATTCTTGACCACAGGCTGCACCTTTTTAAGGTCGCAACTCACTCTTCTTACCAATGATCACTATAAGGTAGTTGTAGACTGTCCAAAAAACTGGCTTTTGCTGCTTATCTCCTTACCAGGAAAGTGCAAGCAGCTAGCAGTAACGATTTTCAAACTTGGCATTGCATGAAAACTTTTCGAGTGCGTGTAACCATAATGAACAAGCAGCCAGATTGTCGCAGTATTTTCAAGGCACCTGATGGTGTGAAGCTCAACCATGCACTACAGGGACAACAATGCACTTTGCCCTAACCACCGATCTAGTGAACTGGACTGCTCCGCCAGCTCACTAAATAACTTGGTAAAAAAAGCAGTGCTGAGAAAGACGACAACATTTCATTAACCGTAGACCCCTTGGGGCAAGGTGCTTCGGTCAAATCATGGTACGAATGAATGATTTGACCACGTTATGCCTTAACCACAAATCCTAATTCCAAATACTGTCTTGAAGGCCCTTTAAAGGGGCCATGCAACACTTTTGGACAGCCTTACTTAGCTCCGGAACGCGTGTAGCGATGATCACTGAGAAGAATGTAACAAGAGTGATAAAAATCAATGCAAGGAAAGTGAAGTTATGAGCCCTCAAAGTTCAAAACTCACGCAGACAACGAGAAACATTGTCCACTTCCAATTACAGCGTGCACCTCAAAGACATTCCAGAAATGTCACCTCACGGCGGCTTTCACACAATGTCTTGCTATCACTCTTTTTGCGGCATCGTTAGCATTGTTACTACGAACCACGAAGGTCGGGTAGCAGATGCTCCCATGGTCACACTGTGTAATATACACACATACGCTTTGGGCGAGGTCACTTCTCGGCTTGCACGCAAGGCATGCTCTACGGCAACGTCGGCGCCCACCGCCTGTTGCATTTTTGGCTTTTAAAAACGTGGCTTGCGTTTGGACTTTTAGTTGGGGGCGTACCAGAGCCTCGTTTGCAGGCTAAGTATTGTGTTCATTGTACTGAAAAAAAAAAAAAACGTCATTTCAAAAGGGGAACGATTTCTTTTTGAGGCAGTATAAACAAGGTTTCTGCTGTTTTTGGCATTCACTCGTATGGCCTAGCTACCAACACAAGAATATTGCATGCTGTTTCTCGCGTCAAGCCAATCAAAAGCGAACGGCAATTGTCACATCACACGTCCCGACATCACTTCCCATAACAAAAAAAAACCAATGTGTGTCGCCGTCATCTTAAATCAAGATAGTTTGTCCCGTGAAAAAATAACAGCGCTGATTTCAACGTTGCCATGTGCCAAACGATATCAGCATGTATTCGTTTTGCACCAAAAGAACGGATGAAAAATACGTGCTAAAATAGTGTCAGAGAGCCCGCTGTAAGAATACATACTAGCATATTAACCAGAGCTGGGCAAAGGTACCTTGAAATCATATTGAGATACAAGATACTCAGACAAAAAGTATTGAATATAAAGATACAACTGCAACAATTGTACCCATTACCAATACTTGCTCATTGTATCATAAGGTAATTCGATACGTTCGCAAAGTTGCTGTTCTAAACCACCATAATGCAGTAGCAAAGGCAAATGCACAAAAAGTACTGCTCCAAAATTAATTATATATGGCTAATTTTATTGCACGTGATTGAAATAAGTAATAGAATGAAAATGTCTTGTCTTTTTTGCGCTCAAAGTACATTATTTTACTACCGAAAGAACTTGTATGAGTTTGCTATAGCTGCTTAACAGCAGGGCTTTTTATACATTTCGCTGACCGCGGTTCTTCTACGTCATTTCTGTAATTGAGAGTCATTACTGAGCTTCCCGACCACCTAGATGGTTGACATCTTACCACACGAGCTTCAACAAGAAGCCTTTGCACGATGGTGCAAATAGTGTTGTGCAGTTCTATCTCGTTCATAAAGGACAGTTTATGCAGTATGAAATCACCAGGGCACAGAAGCAAGAACATTGGTATCAACATTGTTTGACACATTTTGCATTAGTAGAGCACAGAAAACTGCGAATACTATTCTTATTTTTCTTGTCTGCTACTGTGAAGCATTATATATATATATTCATTATTGTGCAATAAATTTTTCAACGCAATAACATGTATTCCCTCCCCCCTCACACACAAATGCCTCAGAGTTATTATATTCTATTGTCGCGTGATGGTGACTATGCAGAAAGCAGCATCCTTCTGGTAATTGATGTGTGGAGTTTAACGTCCCAAAATCGCCAAATATCCAACCCTCTGGTTGAAACAAAACTCTTTAATGAGCAAACTCATGCCTAGAAAGCAAGCAACTCAAAGTACAAGCAAATCATGCTATTTATTGATAACGACTATAAAGTCATTGACCTTGGATAATGTGATCATAAGCCAAGTGAGTCTTGTTGCATGCGTCAAAGATCCCCCCTTCCAGTGTTATTGCTGGTGCTCGCGTTATCTTCCCAATGAACCCGCATGATGCACGCGATCTTAATCATTGTTCAGTTTTTAAGTCTCAAACCACGATATGATTATGAAGGATGCAGTACTAGGTGGCTCCAGAAATTTTGACAGGTCTGGTGCCCTTCAACACGCACACCAATCAAAGTACATGCGCCTTCAGCATTTTGCCTCTATCGAAATATAGCTGCCACGACAGGATTAGTGCACTAACCAAACAATCCCAATATAATCTTGAAGATTTCGAAACATTGTGGCACGGCTTGCGCCAAGCGGTGATAACAGTTTTTTTGTGGTTTAACCCTCGTCACACAAAAACAAAAAAAAAAAAAGTTAAGAGCGCATTGCAGTGTAGTTGCACAAATCGTCGCACAACAATGCGGCTATTCATGCAATTGCTGCCTATAGCTCCAAATATCTTGGAATTAGTAATAGTAAAACAATGGTAGGCCAACAAAATGAAAACACAACTAAAATAGAAAAGCAGAAAAGCCACTCCGCATTAAACATTCACTGTAAACAAGCATAGAAACATGATACAAGTGGCAACCCAAATTGCTATGACAATTAAGCATGAAGTATCATCGACTTGCCTGTTGAGGTAAGACAAAAAAAGACTCAGTGCCTATGAAAAATTCCCTGAATTGCCTTGTTGGGATGCTTGTGAGAAAAACAAACAATTATGGTATGACAATGTTTCTCAAATCACCTTCCACGGATCCTTAAGAAGGCTCCTAATCATTTCCATTTTATAAAGCAAACTCAATTTTGCCATCTTACCACGCAGCAAGTAGAATTGTTGGTTCCTTGCCAGAAGCATGAACTCAAGTGAAGTATGAATGTATGTAGTAGCAAAAATAAAGGAGACTGTTAAAGATAAATCGCAGATCTTAATTGGCAGCACATTTGAAAAGACATGTGGAAGTCACCAGGCAAAAAAAAACAAACGTTTAGAGACTTAGGTAATGTATGAGATGTAGAGAAGGGAAACAAAGAAAGCCCTTGTCCTAACAATTACATCATTTCAAGAGTGTTTTTAATAGAGATAGCAGGAACGAAACATGCTACGCCAAGATAACGTCTGTTGGGTAACCACTTGCACTATTAGATCTGCAGCATCGATACCGGCAGTGCCACGGTTGGCATCTCTTTTGTGTACAAGTCAATCGCATGCAATTCAAACTTACAAGAGTTCTATAAAGTTGTTGATCGGTGAAAGTCGCGAGATGCAAAGCAGCCCCATGATTCAGATTTCATAACGAAGCACCAATAAGAAGAATGGCACCTTGATTCGTGCAATCATAGCTGCACCCAGTGGCAGAACGAACTGGTAAGTGGCTAAGGATAAATGTCTTGGCACTGACACACCTAAAAAAAAAATCTAGAAAACTAAAGGCACATGGGAAAACACACATACATCCACATTCACGTACTTGTTATAACCGATACTGCGCGAGCGCCATTATATTGCTTTGCCTCGCCAGAATGGATGCACACAACTTATCTCCAGTGGAAAGATAGAATTTTTCGTTGCTAGGGTTCACCTAGTGGTGTTGCTATTGCACTATCTTGTATCTTAAGATACACAATACATTATTATATGTATGGGTAGTACACGTACCCATGGTAATCTTGCGAGATGTATCGCGATACAGATACAAGATACCCAAAGAGTATCTAAGATATATGTATCTTGGATACTGCCCAGCCCTGACAAACACGCATTTGTTTTCACCAGGGTAACAAATGCTTTGAACTATTAGATACATTAGTTTCAAAACGAAGAGGCATCCATGCAGAGGCAGGTACCGCCCCATCCACGTTATTGTAGAGAATGCGAGCACCCAGCTTTGTACTGCGGAGCAACACCTTGCAGCGAGAGTTGGGTCTGATGTAGTTTGTCCAAGAGCACGTGTGGCCCAACATACAAGCAGACCTGATGTGGAAAAGTTGAAGAGTGCCCTTGTTCAGCCAAATATAATCTTAGTCTCAAAGCATTTGTGGCATTTCAATGCCAAAAAATACGTACTTGGGCTGATAAGACGCGCCCAAGTTTCTTTAGATAAAATGATGAGACCTTTGCAGCTGTTCCGAGATGCACAGTAAAATAAAGAAGCGATAACCTCAAGTAAAGTGCAGAGATAGCAAAACAAAGGCAGTTACCAACGAAATTTCTGGTTTGAAGCAACGTGCGCAGATCTGCCCATCTGCTTGGCTGTACGCGCTTCCCGGCACTCCACATGACACCCTGTGATCACTCTAGGGAGTCACTCCGCAGAGCGAAGCCAACTGCTCGCGCACTCCAACTCGAAGTGGATGTGGCTGCACGTTAAGCTTAAAAAAAACATGCTAGCTATATGAAAGGTGCACTGCCTACACATTTTCCCTCCATTGCCAGTAGTGCGGTTTCGTAGCTGAGCTGAATAAAACTACTGTAGTGATTAGGCACAAGGCCCAACACACATGTTAAGTTGAACAAGCATTTACAGAAAGAAAAGTGATAGACAAGTGCATGAACCAGCCATCAAGAGCTCTCACTGATGCTTGGGCTTTCTATCAGCACCATACTTGATAAGAAGCCGGAGTGCAGCGATAAGGTTTTGTCAGTGCCTCCCTTTCTGTACAAATATGCTTTTCCATTACTATTTCAGTGGATGGAAAAGCAGCACCCGCATAGTGTAGTCTCTTGTGTTTCGGGTCTTGTTTGCGATGGTCGTCATGAACATATTAAAGCCTGTGAGCAAGAAGACATAGTTGCTCATTGCAGCAAGACTAAACTGGGCTGTGAGCAAGTTTACATATGCGAATTTATTTTAAGTGCATGCATCATTTTAGGGTGCCATTAGGCTAAAATGTTGATATTCTAGCATTAGACTAAAGAGGTCCCCAATAACCAAAGTGTAAAAGTACGAAGCATTCACATGTTGAGCAATGTCACTACAGCATTAACTCTTTCGTTACCACGTTTATTGAAATGGATCCCCGGTGATCGACGCTTTTTAGTCATTGATGTTGGCATGTTAAATTTCTTTCTCATGCACTCAGCACTTTCTAGTAGTTCAGCCACTGAGCTTTCAGAACTTTTTTAAATATTTGCCAACTTGGGCAACATAGCGATTTTTTTAGTCTTTTGTGGGAACCATTGTGTGTGTGTGCTTGGAAAAATACACTAGGTTGGCAAACTTGACAGAAGTGCGTACCCCTCATGATTATCCTGCAATAAGTTCTGTAATGAAAAGAAATTTGCAAGCCAAATATCGAATTGATGGCTTAGCTTTGCAATTTGACTAAGTTTAGGAGCAATAATTGTCAGAAACTTATGCCAGCTAAGCACTAGAGAGCTGTTGCTAGAAGTCAAAGAAAATTAATTCTACAAAAAAATATTTCAAAAGGTCAGACACATGTATAAAGTGTGCAGGTGGCTCTCACAGCCAGTTTCCAGCCGCTTTGGTTTTGCTCGTATTGATATGTCAGACACAGGGTCACATGGGGTGTCACTATTTGCTCCTGTTAAGCTGTCGTCATGCGCACGTGGGTGCACATCAGCGCTGCTTGAAGCTGTCTTGCGACCCCACCTGAATTGAGTGAGAAAGAGCAGAGATTTCGTGGATGACAGCACCTCAGCTTCAAGCTTTATGGGGACGATGTTTTGCGTCAGCCTGAGACATCCGCAGGCGTTCATGGGTTCATTTTGTTTACATCCTCAAGTTGTGTCCTCCGCCGCAAGTGCATATAGCTTCTGACCTTTGTGCATAATCAGGTTACTCTGGTTATGTGGGTGGCCCACACTTTTCTAGGGCGCGATATGGTGGCGCTGGCTGCAGAGCCAACGGCGAGAAGGCCCCCGGAGCACATCTTGGCCCTGACTACAGAGCAGTGTGAAACATTTTATAACTGCACGCGATATTGTTCTTTTATTACTATATGTGCAAAGATGCAAAGGAATGTGCTTGGATGCATATATTGGAACGCAAACCTACTCGGAGTAAGGTGGCTCATGGAAAGCGGCGACGCTAGATGAAATAGCAAAGTTCATTAGACATCTCATTTATAGAGGAATTATTCACATCACGGGTATCCATCTATATTGGAATACCTAGAGACTCATCCTGAGGCAGCGAAACTTTACTCAGAAGGCCTCACAAAAAACCATGCAATGCTTCACCGCATGGCTTGAGCAATGAAGCAGCACCTCGGTTCCGATTTTCTTTGTCTATATGAAGATAAACATTTTGTTCGTCAATAATTATTTTTATACTGTTCCTGGGTCATTTATCTACAAAACGTATATTCTCAATTTTTTTGTTTTGAATATTTTTGCAGGTATAGTGCTTTTTATGCCACTGTTTACCAGCTGGTGACGAAAAATTTTACACTTTCCACATTTTAATTTATTATAAAATATTTTTGTTGCTCTACCACTTGTATTTTTTGGAAAGAGCATTTCATTCTGCAAAGTTTGATATGCTGCAACGCATGCTGGAGCACTTTTTGAACTGGCAAAAACGATCTTCCCAAGACATGTGAAAAACAATGCTCTTGCGGTAAGAAAAGCATCTGTGGTCAGTTTTATTTTTTCACCAGTAAACAATATATCTGAATAAAATAACAAATTTATGAGAAAAACAAGACGATGCAACAAATCTTACTGCATATGTAGACTGAACAAAGGTTAAGAACAAATATTTCACACCACTCGTAATGGACATTCAGAAGGATTGCAATAAAGTCCTTGAAGTAATGTGCATTCTCTCTATCAAGACAAAAGATAAAATAAAACGAGGCTCTGCATACTCACTCTACAGTATATGATGAAGTGAAGAACTCCGGCAGCACAAGTTTCTTAAGGTTTTTGTTGGTAGCCATTGCCGAACATAACTTGGTGACAACATCGCCTTCGAAAGCACAGTCCGGCATGCGCAGATGCTGCAATGAGCAGTTGGCAGACAGCGCTTTGGCAATCTGCATAGCACCTTCGGCGTCAACTGTACAGCCTTCTAGGGACAATGTGACGATCGAGTGATGTTCTTGGAGAAACCGTGCCAGAGAAGCTCCCATCAGGCCTTTGATATGAGTCGATACCACTGTCAAGTGCTGAAAGCCCAGAACGCTCCCCAACGCAGAGAACATGTCTTTCAGACAACACGTGCAGAGTCCGCGTCGTACGAAGCGGTTTAAGTGTTTGCAGGACATGCCAGCCTTGCCGAGTCCCACCAACGTGAGCTTCTGAAGTGCCCTGTTGCTCCGGAATAACTCCGCCATGGCGTCGCAGGCAGACGAGTCCATGCTATCTTGAAGGCTCAAGTCTCTGAGCTGCTCGCAGGCGACAAGTGCGAGCAGCAAGGTGCAGGCGGCTTCCGGAGAGAGCTGGTTTCCGACGAGCGTGACAGTATGCAGGGTGGGGGCGTTTGCGCGCAGAACTTCGGCCACCTTGGGGGCGATAGAGCCCGTAATGTGAATGTTCGAGATGCTGAGGACTCGGAGGCACTGCGGCGGGCCAAATACTTCGAGGAACGCGCTTTCGGGCTCCTGTCTGTAGCGGGGTCGCATCACCACACGGTGCAGATTGGGGGCGGGCCCAACGATGAAAGAAGCTACGAAGGAGAGCCGCTCTAAGTGCATTCGGTCATGCACTCGTACTTCTTGGATGCAGAAATGCTGCCTGGGAAGCCAGGCCATAAGGAAAGCACCATCATTTTCGTTGCCACTGCCGCCACGGTGCATCGCGCCAAATCCGTCCCGGTCGTCGTAGGAACGCAGGCATAGTTTCCCGGGCACAAACTCAGTCAAAACAAGTCTCGCCGGTCTCAGGGCCCGATTCCACGCGGCTATCTGTTCGATGAGCCAGCATTCTGTGACGGCGTCGGCCGAGCAGGCCCGCTCGGTGCTGAGGCCACGTAGCAGGCGTTCCAGGCTCCACCGCCAAGGGTAACGGCTCTGGTTACCCGCTGCCATTCTTTGTTGTAGAGACCTTAAAGCGCCGTCCATGCCAGTACCTGAAAGTTCTTCGGTGCCACAGTGTCCACGGGAGGCAATTAAACCAACGCGCTTCGCTTAATTGTCGGAAGGAAGCTCTTGAAGCTGCCAGGCACCCAGCAAAACGGCATGGTTGTCCGATATCACGCCCGCTTTTTCGCTACAGCTGCGCGTGCGCGTGCTGTACCGGTTGTACTGATAGTCCGATATCTGATCAACCGATGGAGTATCTCACGAGCACGGCGCACTGAGCTGTCGTCAATCAAACAATGACAAACGCCGGACAGCGTCGGGTTCAAACACAAGACTCGCCCCTAGCAGGTTTGTGCTTTGTCTTGGCTCGTCTGAGCCTCTGGCTGGGTCTGGTCGTTTGGCTAGAGTGTACCAACGCCTCCTAGATTTCCTGTGCCTGCTGAATGAGCGTGAAACGCCGGTTAGCTATGGCGGCGCTGCGTACGTAGGAATACGCGTCTTTGTACTTGGCCTTTGAGATCGGCAATTTTGGCATTTGCTACTAAATTTAAAAGATACCTTGTATATTAAAAGTTGCTCGCTGAATGACGGCGTCACTTACGGAGGGTTAATTATAATTTCGTATACGCCTTTTAAAAACTGTTTTACGTTATTTTTGTTGCATATAAGCTCCATAACGTAAAAACCTATTGAAGGCACCTCTACTTGAGTGGCGCCACCAACGTAGTTCCGACGACCACCGCTTCTCAAGTAAACGCCGATAATCCGGCAGGCACGAGAAATTGAGTGTACTAGATGTGTTGAGTGCAAGGAGGATAGGTTTTTATATCCTCCTTGGTTGAGTGGCGTGACCGCGCCTCTCCGCTTGATCCCTTACGCTATGGTGGCTTCTAGCCACCATACTTACGCTTTGCCCGCATCGGCGGCGCTGCAGTCGACTAGTACTGACAACCATGCTGTTTTGCTGGGTGCCGGGCAGCTTCAGGAGCTTCCTTCCGAGAATTATTCAGCAGTCATGATTATTATAGAAAATGAAGGTAGTGAGCTTAGAATACATGAGGTCTGCTAGAGATAACAGATAAATAGAAATATCTGGTCGTATGGATAAGCAATGGGACCGAGTACCTAAGGGAACACGAAATATACATGACGACTAAAGGTAACAGGAATGCAGCAGTGATGAAAAATAAGACATTGTAGAGTTACAATAGGTATGATGTTGTGAGAGGAATATGGAAAGGGGTAATGGTTTCTGGTCTGACGTTCAGCAATGCAGCCTTGTGCATGAGATCAGAAGTTCAAGCAAGATTAGAAATTAAGCAACGTGGAATAGATAGGCTTGCCTTAGGAGCTCACGGGAACACACCAAATTACCTTCGAAAGAACAAGGTGATATGGGATTGACATCATTTGAGGGCAGGGAAGCTAGCAGCAAGATAAAATTTGAGAAGCGATTGGGATAAATGGGGGAGCGTTGGGCTAGGACGTTTTTCAGCTACTTGTACATGAAGAATGTCGATACAAAATGGAGGAAGCGAACCAGAAAATTGACGGGTAAGTACTTAGAAAACATCAGGAGGCCAAACCAAAAAGAACTATTGGTTAAGAAGAAGGTGAAGGAAGCTGAGACCGATATGTGGAGAATTGGCATGATTAAAAAGCCCGCACTAGAGATATATCAAACTTTTAAGCGGGAAATTGCCAGGAAATGATCTATGATAATACTCGGGGTATTTCTCTGTTTGAGGCGAGGACAGCAGTATTGCGAACCAAGACATATCGGGCCAAATACGAAGGGGTAGACACGGTATGCAGTGCATGTGGAGAGGAGGAGAAAACTGCCGAACACTTCATAATGTTCTGTAAAGGGCTTCACCCTATAGTTCAGGATGATGGCGCAGAATTTTTCAAAGCACTGCACTCTAAAAAAACCGCGAGTAAAAAGGGTGTCATTTTGTCCCACAACAATAATCGTCATCTATATTGCGTTCCATTCTTGCACTATATCGCCCCGCACCCGGTACATTCCGCAGTCACGATTGACATGGCCATTATCAGGATTACATTGCATTCTCGATGGGAAAGTGGCCAGCGCCGAGTTTTCAAGAAAGGAAGCGCACGCAAGCCTGATGACGATTATTGTTGTGGGACAAAAAGACACCCTTTTTACTCGATATTTTTTTCGAGTGTGGGGTTTAGGGACACGGAGGGCAAAATATACTTTAAGCGGGTAGAATTAACTGGAAGGAGTGATTAGTGGCTGAACTGATTAGTGGGTAAAGTCAAGGCACAAATGAAAATTAAACCCTTCACTGCAAAGTACCAGTCCTGAACCTCGCTAATTAAAGGGGAAAAAACATGAATCTAGTGTTTGGTTCGCTAAGTATTACGGCTTGGTGGCGTTAGCCACTGCCCGATCTAAAGGGTACAGCCATATCAATCCATTCATCCAACTGAAATAGCCGCGCTCCGCGTGCAGGAACTGCTATGCGCTTCAGATGCTCCGTCGCGCTTTCTTGATGCGGATTTCTTCGTAACTGCCCATGATTCATGTCTAGCACATGATTTCATAGCCCTTGAAGTATGACACACCAATCTACTGAATTTGAGCTCCACAAAAGCCCTTGTAAGAGATCGAAAATAATTCGGAAATCTTGTGTCTTATACTGATTTCTTCTCTCTTAACTCTTTCTTCGTTGGTTAGGCCTACAATATTCAGAATAACTGAGCCGATTTATTGGTAGTTAGCTGTGCTCAGAAAGCTGTGAGATTAAAAACCAAATACGTTGTCACACGCACGCAGACCCAGAAAGCCATAAGGAAAGAGGGGAGAGGAAGGAAATCTGAACCCCCTACACCATGAAATGTTTTGGTAATTTAACTTTTCAGGGCATACTAGAATATTTACACGCATTCACAGCGACCCCCAAATGCCAAAGTTAGGCGCTCTGCTGCATGCACACACCACCATCTAAAAAAAAAAAAAGCTGCCATGCGTAGTTTTACTCCAATATTTTACAGGTGGCGAAGCTGAATATAGCGTGTCTCTACAAATGCGCACTGTAGATTGGACCTTTTCGACAGTATGAGGTCTCATAACTAGTTCAAGTCTAACGTTGTCGGACGAGAAATGTCCCGCCTAAAAATAGTAGCTGTGCTAAGGAACATTGCGTGGATATATATATATATATATATATATATATATATATATATATATATATAGGACGGCTATATAGGACGGATGCACAGACGGACGCATGGATGGGCGGAAGCAAGAACGAATGGACGGACGCAAGCACGAACGAACTCACGAACTCTTCTCCCCACCAACCACCATTCACTCCGTGGATATGCTGTTTTTTTTTCGTACTGTGTTTGCATAAATCTCCCATGATTCATGGCGGTAACCTTCTGGTATATCATTTGAAAGAATGATGAACCCAGCCTTCAAGGACGCGCGTATACAACAACATTCAACACACAATCTTGAACGTCAGTATGTTTAATGAAGCAAACACGGTTCGAAAAGAAAATCAAGACGAACATGTGCTACACCTTATGCAGCTAGTATAGATGAAAACACTGTACATGAGACAATCACAAATAACGAGCCCTTAAATGTCAACTTCTTTCCTCACGTTTGCGAGTAATTCGGTTAATCTACTACATGGCCAGTTGTACCTGCTCCATGATTTCCGGATTTGATGATCTCACAAAATCGCGAAAGCATTGCATAACCAACACGTGACCATGCGCAGTAAAAACCATACAGATTTAACCCTGGGCACGATACATTCTAAATTACATTTCTCTAAAGAGATGATCAGCGTCTTTTCGTGATAACGCTATTTGGGGGGTACACGATCAGGACTACGTTTTTTCTTTGAATTTTAGATACTTGAGTTAGTTCTCTATCTCATATCGTGGCATTTGATATATGCTTTCATCAGTTCCCTCTCACATTTATTTCATCGCTGGGTATCGTTAAAAACTGGCGAGCAACCGCACTCTCTGCAGTCGAGCTGGCGATTGATTGATATGTGGGGTTTAACGTCCCAAAAAAAAAAACCACTATATGATTATGAGAGACGCCGTAGTGGAGGGCTCCGGAAATTTGGACCAGCTGGGGTTCTTTAGCGTGCACCCAAATCTGAGCACACGGGCCTACAACATTTCCGCCTCCATCGGAAATGCAGCTGCCACAGCCGGGATTCGATCCCGCGACCTGCGGGTCAGCAGCCGAGTACCTTAGCCATTAGACCTCCGCGGCAGGGCAGTCGAGCTGGTAAGTATCCTCCCGATGATGTGACGGACATTTCAGGTTCTCTGAGCGTCCCGCCTGGCCTATGCACACTCTACCACAAAACAAGGAATGGATAAAATCCCCGTCCATTTCTACTTCATCATACAACAAGGAAACGGTATTCGATACGTATGACACCTAACAAAATAACGAGCCCTTAAATGTCAACTTCTTTCCTCACGTTTGCGAGTAATTCGGTTAATCTATTACATGGCCAGTTGTACCTGCTCCATGATTTCCGGATTTGATGATCTCACAAAATCGCGAAAGCATTGCATGGCACCGAGATTTCGGCAACCTTATTTTTTTCACGCTATGAGAAATCTTGTACGGTTGCTCCCTACTGTACCCACTTTCACGCGTACCTCAAGTTCCATCCGTTTCTCTTTTAACTTCCTTTTCGTTTCAACTCAACCTTGCGGCCTTAGGCCTTACAACGGTTGACTGAAACGCTGCACCTTTTCAACGAAGGATGTCCAAGTGCCGCCTAATTCCTTCCGCGATTGTAGGTTTGCGCGACCCCCTAAAAATGCACGTTCTTTCTACTAAAGGTCCTTCCAAACAAACAAAAAAGTGGAGGATGCAAGGGGTGGGGGTGGAGGGCAAGGGTTACAAAACAGTAATTTTCGTTGCCAGAGTCAGAAGAGATTTTTCAGCTTTTTTTCTTTTTTTTAAAGTGGAGTCGCTGTGGAATCGCACACATGTACTTGTCCAGGGAACACGTCGTTGGGTCGGTGCGGAGCCGAGTCACGGAGAAAGCGGTGACCCTTTTCCTCTTCTTCCTCTTCCTCCTAATACAAGAAACAGGTCGCCGGAGGGCTGTGGGCCTGCTGATGGCCGTCCAATTATGTGCTCCCGACACGGGTAGTGGGGCGCTATGCAGCCCGACGAGGCAAGGAGTTCGACGAAAACTACTTCAATGGTTCCCGGCTTCCCGGCCACAGCGCCCTGCTTTAGGAGAGCCGTGTCACGGTGGATGACAACCAGCCTCGGTAATTGGGCTTCTAACCACCACCACCTGCAGGCGGGCGGGGGCTCAGTGGAGACATTTTAGTCTGGTTTCGCGAT